CAGCCCACTATGCCATGAGGGTTTCTTTCAGAACTTGTAGTGGTGTGACTCACTGCCATGGAGTCAATGCTGATTCATAGGGAGCCCCGGTGGCTTTCCAAGACTGTAACTGTTTACAGGAAGTCGAACGCCTGGTCTTTCTCCCATGGATTTGCTGGTGGTTTCGAACTGCCATCCATGTGGGTTGCGGCCCAACCACCCCACCAGGGCTCCTTGTAGTGGTGTAGGGGGTGCAAGTCTGTGGCATTGCTGCTCTCTTCCATGGAACTTGGATAAATCCCAGGCAGAATATTTCCTTCCAGGCTCCTGGAGGCTCACATGGGAGGCGTGATATAAGGAGATGGGTGAACTGGGGCCCACAAAGCAGACAAACATTTCATGTACCCCAAAGCCCATCTCAACAACAACTCTCAAACAGCAACTTCCTTTAAAAGGGAATTGTGCTCCCTGGTCTTCCCCACCCCCGTCCTCCTTGGTCAGGCCACTGCCCAGATGCAGCCCTGGTAGGACTTTGTTCATGGCTCTTCTCTAACCCCGCTGTCCACAGCTTGCTGCCCAGGCCTCCGCAGGAGGTGATCAGCCCATAGTATAAAGATGCACCAGTCAGGCAGGAGAGGGTCCCAAGGAGCCCTCTCCAAGGATGGGGATTTCAGCTGCCATTGCAGGAAGGGAACAGTGAGACATGGCGATCCTACAACTGGCTGGCGGGAGGTTGGGTGGTGGTGGTAGGGGGGCGGGTCAGCAATTGGGTTAGCAAGCCCCCTCCTCCCAACTCACTCCCTCGCCAGCCTCCTGCGTTACCTGACATTCACCCAATAGGCACTCACTAGATGCAGGTTGGGCCCACACAAAATCCCTGAAATCTTCGAAGCATGTGTCTTGTCTCTAGGACCAATCACTTCTCACATAAACGGACTCAGGGAAATGCCATTCCTTTTTGTCACCTTGTGCTCCACAGAGGGGCCTGCATGCAGCAGGTGCTCAGCCAATGCCCCTTCCTAGTAGAACTACAGGCCCGCTTCCCCTTGCCTCTCCCTTCTGCTTTTCGAGTACCCCATCGTCCTGTGGGGAAGGCTGACACTCAGGACCAGCAGCCCCAGGGGCCCACCTGGGCATCGTCCCGAAGGGAAGCAAGTAAACAAACAGAATTGGGAGGAACAAGACTTGTGAATCTGCTCTCTCTTTAAGGCTCCTCTCAGCTACAACTGGTTTGTCACCCTCAGCTCTCCTTTTCTCTGCAGGCCACCGCTCTCCTCCTTGTCACTGCCCCCCCCCCCCTTAAAGGCAGCAGCTGGCCTTTCCTAATTGGTGATCTATCTTCCTCACAAGGAACCCGAAACAGCTGTTGCAGTGAGGGCTGGTGGGCAGAGCAGCTCCTAGTCATTAATGTACTTGTTGGTCCGACTGGTGCTGAACAGAGGATTAAATTAATAATGATACTAATTAGACAGAAAGTCCTCCCTCCCTCTCTCTACTGGTGCGAAAGAGAGGATTAAATTAATAATGATACTAATTAGACAGAAAGTCCTCCCTCCCTCTCTCTACTGGTGTGAAAGAGAGGATTAAATTAATAATGATACTAATTAGACAGAAAGTCCTCCCTCTCTCACACACATACACCACAGAAAAATTAATTGCCACCATCATCATCCTCATCCGTGGCAAAAGTTTTACAACGACATAGTCCTGTAGAAATCCTGGTTGTGACAAAACGTCTCGCTCAAAATTCCTTCAAGGAATTCACCATCTCCTTCCATCTTGGGAGTTAGCCAGCCATTATCCCTAGGATGAACTTTCCACGCAAACCCGTGCCCATGGCGCGGGCTCTAGTCCACATGAGGGGTGGGGGGGCCCACAGGCTGTTGATGTCACCTGTGACCACTGCCTGAAGAAGAGAGTTGGGTGGGCTCCCCACAGTGAGGCAGCCCCTGCGCCTCCTGTGCCGATGTGTCGGCCTCCACGTGGAGAGCAAGGCATCTTAAGCTCAAAACGTTCTGCAGCTGGGACGACGGTGATGGACCCTGTTCATTTCTATATATACCTTTCCCTTGGCAATGACCAAAAAAGAAGAAGAACCTAGGAAAGGGCCCGTCCTCATCCTGTGGCATCTGTCACCCTCCTTCCAAATATAGAGCAGGAATGAGCCCCAGCGGGAGCCGCTGCCTATAAAAGCCAAGGGTTAGCAGCAGCCTCTGTGGCCGCCTGCTCCTTCTCTGGCTCTGGGTCGGCAGAGGTGAGTCACACCCTCCTCCTACAAGGCGGTTTGAGGTTGCCTTAGCACGGACAGCTGAGCGCAGCTTCTTGCTCTTTCTAAAGTGTTGTAGCATTGGGGTCCCTGGTGGTGCAATCAGGTACCATGCTTGGGTGCTAATGGGAAGGATGGACGTTTAAGTCCACCCAGAGTCACTTTGGGAGGATGGAGGGCTAGCAATGGCTTCTGAAAAACCAGCCATTGAAAACCCCATAGGACCCAGTTCTGCTCCAATACATGGAGGGGCGCTGTGAGTCAGGGCGGACTCTATGGGAAGATGTGAAGAGCGGTCTCCGGAGGCCTTGGTGCCCACGTACCCCATGCCTCCAGCTCCTCCCCTGAGGCCTGTGTCTGCCCTTCAGGCTCTCTCCCCTCTTCCCCACTCTCCCCTTGCCCTCTTCCCTCTGGGGTCTTGGGGGGCAGCATGCATGCAGACACTACACAGACGTCCCCATCTCTGGTGCCCCTCTGATCTCTGGACAAGGGGACTCCTTTCCTGGCCCTCACTATCCCGACCTGGGCTTTATGGATTTTTGAGACCACATTGGCTGTAGCTACCTGGTAGAGGTAGATCAGCCAACCTCGGAGATCTCTGCATGCTCTCAGACAACAACCACAGGGCCTGGTCTGGTGAGAAACCTTTTAAAAGGGCTTCTGCCCTTGTTGCCCAATTCTAAACAGGCCTGTGGGTCGGACAGGAACTGAGGACGCTTCTGTGTTAGGCTGGTAGGAGACAGTCTTATGGGCAGCTGGGGGCTTTTCCAATCTTAGTAGCCCTATTCCCATCTGCTCCTCCAACTAGCCTCTGATATAACACTTTCAATTTTATCAGTCCATTATCCTTATTGGAGACCCGGTAGCTAGTGCAGTAAGTTTAAATGTTGGGCTGTTAGCTGAGAGGTTGATAGTTTGACCCCATCAGCTCAAAGATGCATGGCAGTCTGCCTCGACTCTGTGCTATAGGGTTACTATGAGTCAAAATAGACTCACCAGCAGTGTATTTAAAAAAAGAATCCCTCCAAACTCACTACCATCGAGTGGATGACGACTCATGACCTTATAGGACAGGGAAGTGCCCCTGTGGGTTTCCAAGACTGTACCTCTTTACAGGTGTAGAAAGCCCCACCTTTCTCTCTCAGAGCGGCTGGGGGTTTCAAATTGCTGACCCACCACATAACCATGACCTCGCCGGGACTAAAACCTCGTGGCACAGGAGTCACGAGCTGGGTTGCTAAGCACAAGGTCAGCATCTCCAAACCACCCACTGCCCCTCCCAGAGGAGGCTCCCGTCCAGAGTGACAGTCTTGGAAGCTCACAGGGACAGTTCTGCCCTGTCCTGTAGGGTCACTCATTGTGAGTCGCCGTCGACTCCATGACAGAGAGTGGGGTTGGGTAGGTTTCATTCTCACTGAGAGAAGTCAGCGGTGGCTCAAAGTGGAACTCTCACTTTCCAGAAAGGAGAGCAGTTTTGATTCCAGCCAATGCATCTTACGGGCACACACCACCCACCCGTCCGTAGAGGCTCCATGTGTTTCTGATGCTGAACAGGTTCCAAGGGCGCTTCCAGACTCAGGTGAACTTGGAAGAAAAGCCCGATGATGTAGCTGCAAAATCACCCTGGGAAAACCTATGGCTCACAACGATCTGTATCAATGCGCCTCCCAAGGGCACAACGCTGAACCCAACGCTTCCAAGTGTGCCTGAGTTTTCCTTTTGCGTGTTTACTGTAGGTGGCAATTTCTGCAGTTCCTGTTGTCTTCTGCTGTTCTCCTGTGGGGGTGATTCTCAGGTGAGAATTCCAGCCGTGCCCCTTTGGCCATGGGAAGTCTCCAGGTGGTTGGGCGTTTCCACTTCCCCCTCCTCTCAATGGCTGCGGGGCACAAAGAGAGCTAGAGAGGTCGGGCTGGGGAAGGCTAAGCTGGAGTGGAATGGAAGGAAGGCAGCACTTCCCGAGTTTCCAAATGGTTGTGTGAGGTCAGATGGTAGCTTCTATTCTTGGCAACTGAGAGAAAGAAAATGCTGGGTTCTTTGACCACAGAACCACCTTGAAGAATCAACACAGCGCCAGGGTCCCCCAGCTACTCTCGGTGGAGCACACTCTCTCCCAAGAATGTCTGAGGGCGGCTGGCAAAGGTCCTCACCGCGATGGAATGATGGGAAAATAGAAGGTCTCCCCAAACTTTCTGAAGTTCCTTTGCAGTTGATTTTTGTGTGTAATGCTTCTGTGTAGACTTCCCCTCAGCAACACCGAGATGTACAGACAAGAGGACTAAGTCTAGAGAGGCCTTAGCCCCGATCCCTGCCTCAGATTACGCCTGATTACTGCTAGGATGTAGCATGCTCCGGGACTGTGGTACGAGTCCCACCGATTGCTGCCAAGTCACCTTGGGCTCAGGGCAGCCCCTGTGTGTCAGAGACGAATTGGGCTCCATAGGTCTTTTTCTATAACTGATCCTTTGGAAATCGATCATCAGGCCTTTCTTCCAAGTGGCCCCTGGGTGAATGTGAACCTCCAACCTTCCCATTAGCAACTGAGCGTGTTAACTGTTTGGGCCACCGGGGCTCCTAGCCACTCGATCCACAGGTGATTTTTCCAGCACTGAAATCCTGAGAGAGGAGGGCCACTGGGCTTGGCCTCTGAGGGCCCTGTGGCCCGGTGTGGTGAGACAGAGGCGGGCCCGTGGTGGTGGCCAGGTGTGGGCTGAGAGGCAGTCCACTCACCTGGCCTGCTCACCTTCCAGCGAGCAGCATGAGCAGCGATAGTGAGATGGAAGTGTTCGGCACAGCCGCCCCCTTTCTCCGGAAGTCGGAGAAGGAGAGAATCGAGGCTCAGAACCAGCCCTTTGATGCCAAAACCTACTGCTTTGTGGTGGACTCCCAGCAAGAGTATGCCAAAGGGAAAATCAAGAGCTCACAAGACGGGAAGGTCACCGTGGAAACAGAAGACAACAGGGTAAGCTTCTGCCTGCTCCCTCGCCCTTTTGCAGGCTGACCAGCCCTTGGGTGGGCTCCGTGTTGAGTTGTCTTGTGCGTGCAGCTTCCCCAGCCCATGCGTACACATCGCTCCTGCCTCAGCCTTCCCAGAAGTCCTGGCCTCAGACCACAGTTTGGGCAGAGAGGCTGGCTGCTGATGACCAGAGCACAGGGGCCAGCACCGTCCATAGTGAGGGTGTGGAATTCGGGCCCAACCCTAGCAGGTGGAGGCCTGGTGCCATTGGGCTCCTCACTGCAAGGTCAGCAGTTTGAAACCACTAGCTGCTGCATGGGAGAAAGTTGAGTCTTTCTCCTCACGTAAAGAATTATAGTCTTAGGAACCCCTAAGGGCAGTTCTACCTTACCCTAGAGGGTCAATATGAGTCAGAATCAACTCGATGGCAGTACGTTTTTGTTTGTTTCCTTTCAATAGCCTAGGTTTCCCTCCTAATACTTCTAGATCAGTGGTTCTCAACCTTCCAAATGCCGCCACCTTTTAATACAGTTGCTCATGTTGGGTGACCCCCCAACCATAAAATTATTTTCTATGCTACTTCATAACTGTAATTTTACTACTGTTATGAGTTGGGCGACCCCTGTGAAAGGGTCGTTCGACACCCCCCCAAAGGGGTCAGGACCCACAGGTTGAGAACCTGTGGAAGTAAGGAAAGTGAGGGAGGGGCCCTGCTGGCGCACCCTTTAAGGGCATTGCAGCCATTGCCCTACATGTTTGTGCCTGCAGTCACTCTGTGCCAGGCCCCTGCGGAGTGCTGGGAGCAACCCTGGACTCCACTGCTCTCTAGACCCAAGGTCACGGAAGTCTAGAAATGATCCAAGGAAAGTTAGAAAGCAAAGAAGAGAGGGGAAAGGAAATCTAAGAGAGAAGGGTAGAGGAAATAGTATCGTCGGGTGTGAACTGACTGCTCACCCATTGCCATGCTGGCAGTTCTGGCTCATAGCTACCGCACGGAGCAGAGCTGCCCCCGGGCCTCCACGTCTGTAAGTCCCTGTGGAGGAAGACAGTGTCGTCTCGCTCCTGTGGAACTATCGTGGGTTCGTACGACTCACCCAATTAGCAGCCAGTGCTTCACTCACCGGACCACTTTTCAAAGCTACAGGAACCCTGATGGGTAGTGGTTCCCGGTTGGGCTGCAATCCACAGGTTCGAAACCAGCAGCTGCTCCCCAAGACTGGGCTTTCTTCTGCCATCAACACACAGTTACAGTCTCAGAAACCCACAGGGAGTCGCTCCGAGTCTGCTTTGACCTGATGGCAGTTAGTGGGAGTTATGTTTTCAAACCTACAGAAGATAGCTCTACATATTTTTCAGATAAAATAGCAAAGAAGGCATCTATCACGCTTCAGGGAGGACAGCAGTCAGACGCGATGAATGAGACTCAGAGACAGTATCAGAGGCCTTCAGGAGGAGGGCCACAGTATGGGGCGGTCTAAGTGGCTTCTGCTGCCTGAAGGCGGGCAGAAGAGGGGCCGCCTCCCCACTTTGCCCAGAGAGCGCTCCAAAGGGAGCCTTCACCATCTTCAGAGGGAGGAGGGTGGGAGGGAGGGGCAGGGAAGAGGAAGAGCAGCCCCTCATCCCCAGGACTTGGTGGTCTTAGAAACCCGAGGGCCATGGGGTGAAAGTGGCTCCTCAGAGAGAAGCCTTCAGAAGGACCCATCTCCCTCGTGGCTCCCTTTCCCTGAATTGCCAGTTCTTCCAATTCACGGAGTGATGAGGAGGTAGAGGAAACATGGGTGGGAGGGGGTGTGGGGGTGCCGCTTGGACAGCTGCTTTCAGAGCACTCTGAATGCTAGCTCACCCCATGGGGACCAGCCTGGTGGACAAATGTAAAACACACAAACAAACAAATAAACAAACTCACTGTCCTCGAGTCAATGCTGGTTCCCAGCACTCCCCTGTGGGTTTCTGAGACTGTAACTGGTTACGGAGGTGGGTGGGTGGGTAGAATGTTCACTTTTTCCCCCTCGGAGCTGCTGCTGGCTTTAAACTACAGACCATGCGGATCACAGCCCACTGCATACCCACTATACCCCCAGGGCTCCTTACATTCTTGTGTGCCCTCAGGAAAGCCAATGGACAGGTCATTTCTTCTGAGTAGCTAGAAACTGCCTCTTGGATGGGGGAACCAGCCAGACTGAATTGCTGGCGCCCTGCTGTCCTTCCCGTCCCAGCATCTCACAGAGAGCCTCTTCTCTCACCTCTGCCCTCCTTTCCTCAACCCAAGGACGTTGGAGAGGAAGTTCAAAAGCCCAGGTGACAAAAACAAACCTCATCCTATCACTACCGGTCTGGCTGGCAACCTGACCTGACCGCGCTGTGGACTCCGTGCTAGCTCTCCGGTTGCTCCTTCAGGCCCCGGGTAGTGTTTCCCTGGGCTGCAGGCACCATCAAGGAAGTTCCTGGCCTCTTTCCTTCCAGACCCTGGTGGTCAAACCTGAGGACGTGTATGCAATGAACCCGCCCAAGTTTGACAAGATCGAGGACATGGCCATGCTGACTCACCTGAACGAGCCTGCCGTGCTCTACAACCTCAAGGACCGCTACACCTCCTGGATGATCTACGTACGTCAGGGCCAGGGCTTGGGAGGATGAGGTGGGGGGAGAGGGGCCGGTGGGGAGGCGGGGGTGGGGGGCATCTGAGTCTTGCTTGCCTGGGCTGTAGAGAGCAGCAGGGCAAATGGAAAAGCAGCCGGGGAGGTGAAGCCAGCAGGTGGAAGATGAGTTGGAAGATGGGGTAGGGAGAGGAGACAAGACAGGGGAGGGCAGGAAGGATGGGGGTCCCAGGCATTGCTATTTGTGGCTGGGCGAGGCCCCCTGCATCCCACTTTGAGTCTCAGTCACCTCACTGAGAGAGAGATCATAATCTCTTCCCTCGTCTATGAGGTTATCGTCAAGGAAAAGAATCTAATCATGAAGGTGAAAGGCTTATTTCACATACATATACACACATCTTGATTATTATTACTAATAGTACGTGTTTCTATTTACTCCCCCAGACCTACTCGGGCCTCTTCTGCGTCACCGTCAACCCCTACAAGTGGCTGCCGGTGTATAACCCTGAGGTGGTGGCCGCCTACCGAGGCAAAAAGCGCCAGGAGGCACCACCCCACATCTTCTCCATCTCCGACAACGCCTATCAGTTCATGCTGACCGGTGAGTTTCCAAAGGGACTATAGTGTGGGGGGAACGTGCATTACAGAGAGGAGCTTAGCTGTGCACCTGGGCCACCTCCTGTCTGGCATTCTGGCGTCCAGCTTAGGGCACAGGAGTTAGGACGGGAGGTAAAAGACCCTGAAAAGTGTGGAGCCCCTGGGTGTTACCCGCTCTCCGTACAATCCAAACTCAAGACCACCCACTGTCATTTTGTCCATTCTGACTCAAAGCAACCCTATCTGATCTCTGGGAGGGAGGCTGTCAGTCTTTAAAGGGGTCGATAGCCGCATCTTTCTCCCGAGGAGTTCGTGGTGGGTCTGAACCACAGACCCGAATGTTGGCAGTTCAATGTTTACCGCGTAGCACCACCAGAACCAGTTAAGTGCTCAACTACTAACTGAATGGTTGGTAGTTCAAATCCACCCCAAAGTGCCTCAGAACAAAGGCCTGGCAAGCTGCTTCCTTGAAAAACCCAGGCCTGCAGTTTCCTCTGCTCACCGGGAGTCACGAGAGGTCCGAGTCAACGCAATGCAGCTGGTTTACTGACGGAACAACATGAAACTTTTGTGAGTCAAATACAAACAGTGGCAATCTCATCTGGTTCCCCAAATGCAACGTGAAGCCATTAGTCGGCGAGAAAAGACCAGTCAGTTTAAGAAGGGGCTTCATGTCTCCAAGTCTCTTTCTCAAAAGGAGGGCTGAGGCTCTTCCGTTCCCGTCGACCAATAGCTGCCCATCACCTCCTGGCAGCCTTCTGCTTGTCCAAGGAGAGGTGAGAGCCACAGGCTTATCAGTGGCTGGCTTTTCGGATGCTCAGGCCTTTCTTCCAAGCTGCCTCTGGGTGCACTTGAGCCTTCAACCCAGCTGTGAGCGTCTGGGTGTACCCTCACCCAAGGACTCTATGTTCCCGTCTAGCAATAACCACAAAGGGAAGGTCAGCAGGAGGGTGCATTGCACCTCTTGAACTTGGGAGAAACGGAACAGAATCGTGACACCCTTTCCCTATAGTAATCAACCCGGCTTTACCTCTTCCTTTGTCCTTTGGCAGATCGTGAAAACCAGTCCATTCTGATCACGTGAGTACACGCGTGCGCGGGCTGGTGTCATGGAGGTGGCCATTGTTACCCGTGGGAGGACCATGAATAGGCTACTTGCGACAGTCAGTTCCTTAGCAAGTCTTTGGAGCTTGTCTATGATGGAAAGTAGACTGGGGGGTGGGCAAGGGCTCAGGACACCGGAAGCACCCATCCTTCGCACTTGGCTGTGAGAGCGCTTCCTTCCCCTTGGGCTGTTGGTCTACAGGGGTGTGTGTGCTGGTGCTCCAAGCAGGTCCAGGGCTCTGGGTGACTGGCTCTCTTTGGGGGCTCCCCAGAGCACACCGTGGGGGTGCCATCCTGGGGAAGCTGTTCTTCCTAACGGGGGCTTTTGTCCTCTGGCGCCTTTCCTTCGGTCACCCCAACAGCGGAGAATCCGGGGCAGGGAAGACGGTGAACACCAAGCGGGTCATCCAGTACTTTGCAACAATTGCAGCTACTGGGGAGCTCAGCAAGAAGAAGGACTTGAAAATGAAGGTAAGGGGTTGCAGGGAGTTGGGGTGGGGTTGGGGGAAAGAGAGAGAGAGAGAGAGAGAGAGAGAGAGAGAGAAGCAGCCTTGCTTTGCTTTCACTGCTGATAAGGGAGGGGGCAGAGGCAGGTAGCACTGCAGGTGGCGGAGAAAAAAGAAACTCTTTGAGGGGAGGGGAGGGAGAGGAGCCTAGGATTCAAAGTCTCACAGGACAGTGAGTCATCCCGCAGGAGCGTGCGTGCGTGCGTGCGTGCGTGCGTGCGTGCTCGCGTGCTCGTGTGGCCCCAGATCCTGGGATTTTCTTGAAAGTAAAGCGTGAGAAAGTCCCGGAGGAAGCTCCATCCTGTGCGGAGCGGCACGTCCCCCAGGACAAGTGCGACAATTGTCAAGGAGGCATTTTGTAGAAAGCAGTCAACACCCTGAGAATCAAGGGAGTGCAGCATTTGGGGGCATTTGAAAGCGACCAGCCTGCCAATGTTGACAGAGCAGCAGGGGTGCTAGGGTGATGGGAGAGGCGGAAGTGGGCCCTCAGGTAGGAGCCTGGCTTCGCAGAGGCGGCCAGGTGCTCAGGACAGGCATGAGGAGAGCGGCCGCCCTGTGACATACCCCCGTTTGGGCTTCCGCAGGGGACACTGGAAGATCAGATCATCAGTGCCAACCCGCTGCTGGAGGCCTTTGGCAACGCCAAGACCGTGAGGAACGACAACTCCTCCCGCTTTGTGAGTCCCGCTCAGGCCAGGCCCTGTCCTCAAAGAGATGGCAGCCTCGCGGGGCGCCGAGGGCAAGGAAAGCACAAGACAGAGGGAGGTGGCCGAGCAACTGGAATACTGTTCCTGTCAGGGGTTGTTGCATAAACCGAGGCATCCCTCCATCCCTCCACCTGGTGGCCCAGGGCTGACACTTAGCTGCTAACCCACACAGAGGCTCCTGGGCTGGAGTTGGGCTAGACTCAAGGATGCTGGGGGTTGTTGCTGAGAGAGAGACAGAGAGAGAGACAGAAGAGGGGTCTCCTTCAAATAGCGTTGCTCTGCCACTCTCGGCAGACGGACTTGTGACGGGGAGGGATCCCCAGACTGAGCAGCAGATCCGGAAAGGACAGGGAGGAAGAGGGGCAGGAACAGCGCTTCAGAGGTGGAGAGAGCCTGGTGGTTAAAGGTCTGTGGAGAGTTAGGCATGGAGGGAGCTGCAGGAGAGAAGGCAGAGGAACATGGGCCTCCCTGTGAGAGCAGACCTGTGTCCCACGAGGATTTCAGTGGCTGACGTGTTGAAAGTGTACCCCTGGGTCTTTCTTCTGAGCTTCCTCTGCGTTGGCTTGACGTCCAACCTTGCAGTTAGCCACCCGGGCACTTCTTCCAGGGGACTCCCGTGGCCATCTAACCAATTCCAACTCATAACAA